TAATAAAATAATATTAATTATTTTACATCATTAAATTAGACACTTTTATTGAATATTTCTAATTTTTACAATAAAAATACATATTTATTTCTTCTTTCTTTTCTTCTTTTATTATCTCTTTTCTTTTATTACTCTTTATCTTCTTTATTTTTATATTCTCTATTCTACTTTTATTCTTTCATCATCATCTTCTACTTCTTACTTTATTTTTATTCTTTTATATCTTTCTTTCTCTTCTTTTTCCATTATTTGCTTTTTTCGATGCCAAATAAAAGAAATAATACTAATTAAGAAATAGAGATATAAATATAAAAATACTAAAAAAGTGAGAATAGAATATGTAATGATAATATTACTTTATTTAATAACCATGATGACATAACTTGAAGAATAAAACAAAATGAATATAACAATAAATTCAATTCATTTTAATTCAACTATTTCACCAATCCTTCTTTTTATTATTTCAGTTTCAATTCATTATTCATTGATTAAACGATTCTTAATAACGATATTAAAAATGTTCATTAATTCATTCAAATGAATTATTAAACAATAATAAAAATATACAAATTAACATATTTGTATTTGGTGATATAATCATTTATTTCATTCAAATATTCTATATGATTAATTTCAACATAAATATATTGATTGTATGGAATGTGAACATCAAACAAGTAAACAATGAAAACATCAATTGATATATCTAATGAGTAAATGTTGAAATGATAGATGAATAACAAAGAAATGAATAATAATATGATAATATTGAAATTTTAAAACGAAATATCATAAATTAACTAAATAATGTTATTATGTTCATAATGAAAGACATAATAATATCATGTGCTGTAGTGAAACTACAGTATCTAATGAAACAAGAAATGATAAAGTTAAAATGACAAAAAGAAGAAGCATGATGATGAAGAAAATAACAGTATTAAGAAAAGAAAAAGATGCAACAAAAATAGTATAAAGAATGAATAATTAACAAAAACATAGAAAAAAATTCAAATAAATACTGAAAAATGGTAGTGATAGTAAAAAAGAAATAAAAAGATAAAGAAGAAGAAAATAATAACTCATAGAATATACTAAATAAACGAAATAGGGTTGAAAAAAGAAATGAAAGAAGAAAATAAAGAAAAGAAAAAACTAAAAGAATAGAAAAAGAAACAGATAAACAAGGAGATAAACAAATAAACTAAGAAGAAAGAATGATAATGGTGAATAAAGGAAATTTGGAGGCATAAAGATAAGTCACAGCAGAAAGTCCAAATAAGTTGAAGTGTGTCAAGAAAGAATAAAATAAATGATAAAAATGAAGAGATATAATGTGAAATATAAAAATGAACATATCCATGAGAGAAAAAATTACGACTTACTCTTCATAAAGAAGATGTGTAATATTTAAATTAACAAATAACAAAAGCATGAAAAATAGATAAGAGAGTAAAATACAGAGAAGAATAGTGCAGCAAGAATATAATAAATAACAATGAAGAAATGAAATATAAATAGAAAGAACAAAAAGTAAATAGAAAATAAGAAATAAATACTTAAGAAAAAAGAAGAATAAAAGACAACAAAGAGTAGATAAATCACAAGAATAAAGAATTTGTTGTAGTTGTATATATAAAGTTGTGATTATTTAAAGAAAATTGATAGTATTTTCAATAAACATAAATAAGAAATATAAAACAAATAAACATAAGAATAATGAATCTTTAAATTGTAATAACGAATATAATAGTGAATAAAAGAAAAGGAATAACAAACTAAAACAAAAACAAGAATAGAAATAATTAAATGAATAAAATTAATAATTTTATTTAATGAATATGAAGTATAATAGATGCTAACGAGTTATATGTACTTTAAAAAATTATAAATCAGTGTTAATTATTGATTTAATTTATAGCTACAGTTATAGAATTTTTTAATTTTCTTTTTTAGTTTTATTTTATGCTTCACTCTATATATTTTCTGTATGAGTGATTAAAACATAATTATATAACAATACATTGTAGGTAATTCATTGATTACTTTGTTAATTAATACTGAAACCAATTTCATAAACCAATATATTTTAAAAAATAATTTAAATTATAAACATAACATAAAGAGATTTACAAGTTATGAACAGAAATAAAGACATTTTATCGTTTTTGTTACTTTAAGTTCAGTGTAATTGATTATGAAATGTCATAATAAATAACGCATTCTTTAACAATTTATGTCAAATTATTCACATGTTCTATAAAATTCAACACCTTAACAATAATTATTACTTATTTCTTGTAAAATATACTCGGATATTTATTTTTTAAAGATGTTTAAATAACAAGGAGATTTTTATTCATGAAGAAAAAATAAAAAACAAAACACAAGCACGGGGGAAAGTTTAACTAAATTATTTTTTTTTTGATAAATAGAAAACATTTTATTTATAATGGTCTTAATACGTTTGTTCATAATAAAAACAGTGTAGTGTCAAAAAGACCCCAAAACCGATAAACATTAGTGATGATAAATAATTTTTAATCATATGTATATTTAAATAGAATATTTCATGTGTATTATTTTTCTTCAAATACCATTTATTTTTTTTCAAAACAAAGTTAAATAAACAACACCAGTAATACTTTATTAATATATTATTAATTATAAAATGAAAATACGTTTGTATGGATTCAATTTTTGAAATATATTATATACAAAATAATTACACTATAATTATAGCAAAAAGAAGAAAAAGAACTAACTATATTTATAGGTAATATAATTGGTCCAAGAGAATAGACAAAGTAATAAAAATGATCCAAAGAATATATAAAAGTATGAATCTAATGTTACATAACTAGACAAACAAAAAGTCATAAAACAATGTTCAAAACAAAGATAACGCAAACTTTGAAACAACTAAAGAATATGAAAGAGTTTAACAAGAATGTTATTACATAAAAATAAAAATAACGTTAATTTAGAATTAAGAATATTGTCGTTATACTATTTTTACATAAATTTTCTGAGTGTATGAAAAATCACTGAAAAGAATTTTATGTCATTAGAATTAATATACAAATAAACAACTGTACAGTTTCATTTTGTATATTAATGAAATGATAAATCCATATAAACATATAAAATATTAGTTGTGTATTTAACAAACAACCTTCTGAATGTTTTAAGAGAAACCAGTAGCTAATACATTATTTTAGTGCATTCCATTTTCAATATAATACTTAATACCTAGTACTAATGATCAAAAAGATATTTATAAAACGAGAGAAAATACTGTCAGTAATTTTTTAATTACCCTATTATCTACACTAACATAAATAAAACCAACAATTAAATATTATTTGAATATTTTTATGTTTAAATATTTGAAGTACATCATTTCATATAATATTTAATAATATCTGTAAACATTTCAAATACCTTCATCACATTGAATATATTAACAGAATATGAATAAATGTTAGAAGAACTATTGTAATATTTATAACTTCTTATATCAAGTAAACTATACCAAGAACTTTTCAAAAGTGAATGAAAATATTTCAGATTTACTTTTTGGATAATACCAAAATATGGTTATTATTAATAAAGATTAATTCATTTTTAGGTTATTGACTATTATTAAAATAAGAAATATACGCTTAAACTTTATCAGCAATATCTTTTTTTTTCAATTTCATGATATTACACTTACACTCAATGATATTGTTCAATTTAAACAAGAATGACTAAATATAATTGAATATAAGAATTACTTGAATTTTTACCGTTTTACTTTTCTTGGCTCATACAAATATAAACTTATAAACTTTCTTGCACTTTTCTTACAGATAAGAGATGGTTATATAAATGACATGCTATAAAAATTCAATATCAACTATTTACTTTATTTCTTTGTTATTCTTAAACCTATTTCAACATTCTCCACACCACAGCAATATGTTCATAAAACTTGAACTTTATCCAAAAATTAATTAAACAAAAATAATAAAAGTTATTATATTCTAAACATTTAGAACAAAACAATAAATGAGATAATAATATACATTACCAATAATAAGAAAATCCATTTGTTAGATATATTAAAATATATCTAAATACTAACTCTAAACAGAACCGTTCATTCTTCAATTATTTTATTGAATATTAATCACCTTTTATTTGGTTATCAATCATTTTCATCTACAAATATTTAACTAAATAAAAAATGAAATAGAAAGATAAACTCTCTTTTATTCTTTTTTATTGTTAATATACAAACAAATAACACATAGACTATAATAATTGTGTCGTACAATTAATGATTTGTTTGCATTATCTCTATTTAACAAATAATATTGTATTTTTATAGAATATGTTAAGTTAATAGTGTAAATTTAATGTTTAATGTGAATCTTTTCAAAATATTATTAACAAATTTTTCATTTTATTAATCATTTTATCATAACATCGTTGTATTCACATAATGTTTGTTAGAACAAATAATATTTTTCTATTAATACTTATATATTACTGTAATATTACTAATCCTCATCCTTACCTCGTATCGAACTCTTTTTAGTAATAAAGAACAATTAAAGTTTTATTCTTATCAGTTACTGTTATACTATTAGTTTAAAAAAAATTTAATACCTTTAAATTTTTACTATATGTCATAAAAATGGTGTAGACATTGTGCAAATACAAGCAAAACATGAATTGAGTTGTTATTGATTAATAAAAAGATTATGTGTCGCACAATTTTCTTTAACTCCATTTTATTACTCATTTTCATCTTTTATTACGACATACCCAAATAATAAAAATAATAATTTATTTATCATTTTAATACCTCATAAGAAATAATAATGAAATTAATTTTTCTTACTTTTAATTTTAAGATCTTCTTTTTTTCTTGATATTTTGAATAATTTTATACATAGCCAAATATAAAGGAATAATAGAACTAATAAAATAACAAAGAAGAATAAAACATGATCAGAGCTGATCATGCAAAGTCCATAGAAAAAAAGAACATCCATGAAGAATATATTTTTGGACAGTGGGGGTTATTAATAAAATATGTTATTTTAAAGGGTGGAAAGGTTGAGATTTTATGTCCAAGAAGAAAACGTAAAATTGATAAGAGAAACCAACTTGATATTAGTTTTGTTGAAGTAGAAGATCAGTGTTATAAGGCTGCAGATATTTTTCAAGAGGTACATTCTTATGTAAACCAACTCTGTGAAAAAGGAAAACTTAAGAAACGGGATAAAGCAAGAACTGAGAGGAAAATTGTTCATGATATAATAATGAACAAATTAACACAATGGTGCCATGATAAAAGTGAAAAAGAAGGTATTAAAATGAAATATAGATATGGCAAACCTTCATATAAAAAGAAAGAAAAAGAAAGAAATCTTGTCATTTATGAAATTGGGTTTAATGGAAGAACTTATGAAAGAAATGATATTAGATGTTATTTTGGAAATTGGATGCAAAAGGTTCTCCAGCTTCTTCTTAAAAAACCAAAAGAAAAATCTATTACAATATCTCAAAGTACTCTTCCCCACGAATTTTATGAAAATTTTATTTCCCCTGATTATGAAGAAAATGAAGATACAAATATTAATGAACTTGAATCTGTCAATAATTCACCTAGTGGCTATGAAAAAAATATATCTACTTTTGGTTTACAAAACGTTTATCCTCCACAACAAATATACAACCCAACCCATCTTCAATGTAACAGAAATTGGTGTCATTGCATTATTCTTTCCAACCCTATTCAACTATACGGTCAATACTACTACCCCCCTCAAAATAATTTAAGTATTATTGGACTACAAGGAATATCCTATAACTAACAATAAGAAACTACTAAATGAGTATACTTCTTAATGAATGTGTTAAATAAAAGCTTTAAAAATTTAATCATTAACACAGTTAAATTTCTGTTTTGTTTTTTTATTCAATAAAAAAAACAGACGTTTACAACAATACACAATCTTTGTTTTGTTCATTTGCTATTTTTGTCAATTTAAAAAAAATAAATGTTGTTATTATTAAAACACTAAAACAGGGGTAACCATTGTAATCAAACCAAAAAGTTCAGTGGAATATTTCATAAAAATTTGCTTACCCTCTCTGAGGTTTTTATTCTATTTATAAATGACAGTTTTTTTTATTAATCATTTATTTGTAAGTTACAATTATAATAAAATATTATTCCTAAAACAAATATTCTCAGATGGTAAAAAGTTATTTTGTTTTCATTTCTACAATACTTTTTTGAATGACAAACTTGGCTAATTATTTATAGAGAAATTTGAGGTATGTAATACTTATTTCTTTTTAAAAATAAAAAAAATAAACCAAAATTATATTTACAAAGAATAATAAAGACATAGTTTTAATTATAAAATAGAAACACCTTTAGAAGAAAGAAAACGAATAACTTGTTGAGAGACTGAAGTACCAGTAAGAACAATATTTAATAATTTTGTACATTTATTAAGTAACATTTGAATACCAGAATCAGTCACATTAACACACATACGTAATTCTACAGTAGTTAATAAAGGACAAAAATCAGAAATATTTGATAATAAAGCATCACTACATTGAGAGAAATTAAGTCTCATTACATTCATCCATTGGGCTTCTTGAGAAAATAATTGAGGAGCACTATAAGTAATGCCTTGCATAGAAAAACTAGTAATTCTAGGTAAAGCATTAATAATGAATTGAATTTGATTTGGAGTAAAAGGAGTAAAAGAGATATCAAGATATTGTAATGAACGGATTCCAGAGAGAATAACACCAGATTCAGGAGTAATATTTTCACAACCACTAATATCAAAATGAGATAAATTTAAACATGAATCTCTTACAGCTAATATTACTCTATTAGTTACTGCTGTTGTACCACTTAAAAATAATACTCTAAGACGAGGGGATCGATAAATAAATTGAATTAAAGCAGTTTCAGTTAGAGTAGTATTATTTGTACAATAAAAATGAG